ACACACACACACACACACACACACACACACACACACACACACACACAGGGTGAGCCGGAACCGGGCCGGCTGAACCGGGCCGAGGGACCCGGGGGCCTGCTGCCTCCGGGGGGCGGCGGGTTCCCCTCCAGAGGCAGAAGTGGGTGGGTACTCACGCAGCTCTCTTCCACACCATCACCAGCTTGTCGTCTCCTCCAGACGCCAGATACAAGCCGTTATTGGACCAGCGCACACAGTTCACACAGGCTGAGGAGAGAGAGGCTCATTAAGGACCCAGACCACGACTATTTATGGTAAAAAACTAAAGTTATGGACAGTTTATGGTAAAAAAAAACTAAATTTGTGGACAGTTTGTGGTCAAAAAACTGAATTTAAGGAACTTTTGTGGGTAAAAAACAGAATTTGTGCAATCATGTACATATATCTTGTTCTTTTTTGTAAATACTAATAACTGATTTTTGTTTTTTGTATGTAAACTCCACTGAAGTGAGAAACATCCGGAGTCAAATTCCTTGTATGGTCACACTTACTTGGCGAATAAAGCTGATTATGATTTATGAAAAGTTTGTTGTTAAAAAACAGAATTTATGGATAGTACTGGTTTAAAAACAGAATAAATCGAACTATATTGCAATTATATTGAACTATATTATATATGCAGCATTTGTATTTACCTAGGTGATTGTCCATCTGGCAGAGCATTTTGGGAACGCTCTCGTTCTTCTCGTCCTCCTCTTTGAGGACGGGGGCCATGTTCCAGATCATCACCTTCCCCGAGTCCTCCCCTGAAAACAGAGGGCCATCAGCTCAGGTGGAGGGGGGGGGGCACCACAACCCACACCAGGACGGTCTTACCTTGACCCCCCGTCGCAAACTTGGTCCCATCCGGGTGGATGTCCACTGAAAAAATGGGTTTGCCTGAAGAGAGAAAACAAACTTTGAGACTCTGCTCATCCCTAAAAATCCTTATTTTTTTCCCACATCTGAGCCATTTTGTACTACTGGAGGTAAAAGAACGAGCATTAGTGACCACAAAACACCATAAAAAAAGATTTAAAAAAAAACATTACAAGATTTGCCTTCAACTTATTCAAATATGAGGATTTTTTTCTGCACAGGAAGCAGCAAACTTAAATATCGAATTTAAGAATTTAGCCCATCTAAGACTATTTAAAGCAAATATTTGCCCCTCAAAATGTTTTGGGAGCTAAAGAAAATCCCTTTTTTTGCACATCTGAGCCTTTTTGTGCCATTTGAACTACTGGAGGTAAAAGAAAGAGCATAGGTGACCACAAAATACCCTAAAAACCATGAACAAAACCAGGTCTTACTCCATTTGCCTTCAACATACTCAAATATAAGGCTTTTTTCAGTATTTTAACTGATTTTCTGCACAGGAAGCAGCAAAGTCAAATATCAGGTGGACAAATACAGCTCATCTTAGACTATTTCAAGAAAATATTTGACCACAAACACCTTAAAAACCATCAACAAAACCAATTTCCCAGTTTGGGATAAAAAAGGATATTTATATTACCTACCTACCTACCTACCTACCTACCTACCTACCTACCTACCTCCCTACCTACCTACCTATCTATCTATCTTTACATCCATCCATGAAACCAGGTCTTACAGCATTTGCCTTCAACTACTTCAAATATTAGGCTTTTTTCTGGATTTTAACATATTTTCTGCACAGGAAGCAGCTAATTTAAATATCGAATTGAAGAATTCAGCCCATATAAGACTATTTAAAGGAAATATTTGCACCTCAAACTGTTTCAATTAGTTTCCCAAAACAGTTTTAGAGAACATCTAGAATAAACAGGTGTAAACAAACAGCTAGGAAGCGAGCAGATATGTTTTTAACCCCACGTTTCTGCACATATTTCTCCAGGGCGTCAATCAGGGGAAGATTTCTGTTGAACAAGTTTCAAATCCGCAGCATATTTTTCTTTCGGGGAAAGAAAAGATGAGGATGTGGATTCATTTTAAACTCACAGACACCTGTTAGTGGACAGCAGAATAATCTGAAGACGCCTTTAATGGAAGCAGTGTGTCAGAATTCAACACCAAAGCACAGAACTGGGCTTCTGGAAACACAGTTTTCTACATTAATAACGTTTCAGAGGCTTCAAGCTGCTCATTTTCATGTTATTTATTAGTGAGATTACAGATAAAGCTACTCAGACAGCATCAAACATGACAGAGAGTCAACATTATGATGAATCTCAGCTGTCTGGAGACCAGCTCAGTCTGTTTAAGGACGAAAAACCCCTCAAATTCTGCTAAAACTGACAATAAATGGCTGTAAATAAGGAGGTTTTTGCTGGGTGCTGGTTCCCATCTGCTAAACTTCGCAAATGTTTCTTTTAAATGGTGGATTTGGTCGCACGTCACAGCACATTTTCGCCCCTCCAGCCTCATTAACAACAAGTTAGAAGAGGATTTCCCGCATAAAACGAGCTGATATCCGTCCTAAGCTCGGCGTTTTGGCCGTAAATGGAGCGATTAGCTGGCGGAGTTGTGTAATTCCGCAGGGGAGCTCAAACCGCCTCAAATGTTGGCCGTTATCGGGAATCCAGGCCGTTTCCTCGACGGTTAACTTTCCTAACTGACAGCTCGCAGCTTCCAGCCGAACGCACTTTGCTCGCTTTATTTTATTTTTATTCTCATCTCCGCTTCCAGGCGACGAGCTTTTTGGCTAAAACGCCGCCGAGAAAGTCAGAAATATTTCCCGGGATGTCAC